AGAGTCCCAGGAGCCTGTAGGACTCTATTTGCATACAGCCATGCACCTCCTCCCTGGCTCTTACAATCTTTTTACCCCCCTCTGTCATGGTCCCTGAGCCCTGGGTGGGTGAATTTTAATATATGAGTCCTTCCCAAGGACCCACACTCTACAGGCTCTTATTCTCTGTGTTTTGGCCATTTGTGACCTTTTGTGTTCCTGGCCCTCTGTTGCATGATGGAGTTTCTTTGATGAGAATTGAAAGATGCGTTAGTGTTTCATGAGTCTTAGGTGTAGAGGTTGCATTGTAGATGTGCCACTTAGGCTTGGGCAATTCACAGACAATTTCTGTATGTGACCAGTTGTGGAACTCTGTAATTAACTCTGTCTCTTGAAAAAAGCTTCTTTGATAGGTGATGACTGGGATACTTGTTTATAAATTTAAAGATCCATATTTTCCGTATAATAAGAAATTACATTTGTCTAGGGATGTGACTGACTTGGTGTTTTCTCTAAGATCTATGACCTCTCTAGCTACGTGTTTGGCTAGATTTTCAGTACCACACATGAGATTCCTCCCACTGAGTGGGTTGCTCTGTGCTGGTCATTGATACGGTTTTTAGGCATTGAATCAATTGATGTTCTCCCTTAGCAGCTTGTGTAGTGCTCTCCAAAGCTGTGAGAGCTAGTCTTTAGGGGAGGTGGCTTTCAGGTCAGTTCAGTTCAAGCTCTGTTGCTCCAAACCCTGTGTCCAAAAATATGCCCTGCCTTCAGCATTAGGATCTTACCATCAAGTTCTGGGAGGCAATCAAGGACTGTTTTAGGAGTCTCTTGGACTACCCTGGCCAACAACTAAAAGGAAGGCTTCTCCTCTCTGGCATTGTTTCTTGTTAGGTAGCCTTCAGCTCTACGCACAGACTCATGTGGAGATATATTATGTGTAATTTTTCAGTAGATTTTGTACCAATATGATTCCGTCTGTTTTTTTATACTAGCTAGGCACTGTTTACCTCTCCTCTTTCTCTTCCTGGCTTATCCTCCTTCTCCACCTTGAAGTGTTTCCATTTTCCCTTTTCTCCCTTGACAATTTCTGTCTGCTGTGGTCCCACCTCTCTTGAGCTCCTTCTTCCCCTTTATTTCCCTAGTTCCTTGCACAGCACTCCTTCTCCCCCTTCCATTTAACTACCTCCTTTTTACACATTCCTCCCTCAGTAACACCTTTCTCGTCCTATTCTTCTCTCTCGGGTTCCTTCTTTCCCTTTACCTCCCTGGTTCCCTTCCATTTTTCTGTTTCCTGGAGGTACATCAGGATATGTACTCACTTATAAGGATTTGGTGTTAGGACTCACAAATGAGGAAAAATCTACATTTTTTTGTTTTTCTGAGTCTGTGTTACTTCACTTAGTATGAGTTTCTAGATGCAGCTTTCTTTGCTTCTGAGTGGAACTCCATTGTGTAAATGTACCACATTTTCCTTAAGCATGCATCATTTGAGGGCACTTTGATTGCTTCTATCTCTTAGCTGTTGTGAAAAGAGCAGCAACAAACATGATTGTACAAGTGTCTCTGCAATAGGATGAGTCCTTTAGGTATGTACCAAAGAATGGTATAACAAAATTGTATAGTAAGTTCATTTTTTAAAATTTCATTGTTTTTTTTGTATTTCATACAGAACATCTCAAACAATCTTGATCATCTTTATACCCCATCCCCACTGGCCCAGCCCATAGCTGCGCCCCCCTGCCTACTGGAGCCCATATACTCTGTCATCCCTCTTAAGGCCCACTGTGTTGTCAGTGTCCCCAGCAAGTCTGTCCCCTGAGTCTAATCAGCCTATGTAGAGTCCCTTGTTCCCCACACTATTTTCCATAGGGGTTGTATGAGTGCTCAATCCCACCAGCAGCGAATGAGCATTCCCCTTTCTCCACATCCTTGCCAGTATTTGGTATCATTTATTCCCTTGATCCTAGCCAGTCTGACTCCGAAATCTTACGTTGGTTTTAATTTGCATTTCCTTAATTACCAACGACATTAAACACTTTTTGAGATGTTTCTCAGTCTTCTTTATTTCTTCATTTGAGAACTCTGTTTAGATCTTTAACCTACCTTTTAATTGGGTCATTTGCTTTCTTGATTCATTGTTTTTTTTGTGCCTTATATATTCTGAATGCTAAACCTCTCTCAAATGTGTCATTGGTGAAGATTTTTTTCCATTCTGTGAGTTTTCTCTTCACTTTCTTGATTGTTTGCTATACAGAAGCTTTTGATTGTTGATTGGTGACCTTAATTCCTGAGCAACTGGTGTCTGATTTAGAAACTCCTTTCTTACACCTATATCTTGTAGGCTACTGCCAATGTTTTCTTCTAACATTTTCAGAGTTTTGAGTTTCACATTGAATCTTTGATCCATTTGGCATTGACTTTTGTGCAAGGTAAAATATAAGGGTCTAGTTTCATTCTTCTACAGGTGGAGATCCAGTTTTGCCAGCACCATTTGTTGACGATGCTATATTTCCTCCATTGTGTGTTCTTGGCACCTTGTCAATTATCAGGTGGCTGAAAGTGCATGTATGCATGTTTGGGTCTTTAACTATGTTCCATTGATTTATGTGTCTAGTTTTGTGCCAGTACCATGCTGTTTTTAGGACTATAACTCTGTAATATAGCTTAAGATGTGGTATAATAATTTCCACAGAATTGCTCTTTGTGCAATGAATTTAAGGTTTTTTTTTTTCTAATTCTGTGAAGTATGTCATGGGAATTTTGATTGGGATTGCATTGAATTTATATATTGCTTTTGTTAGGATGTTCACTTTCACAATATTATTTTTTCCAGTCCATGAGCATGGGAGGTCTTTCCATCTTCTGGTGTCTTCCTCAATCACTTTCTTTAAAGATTTAAAATTTTCATTGTAGAGCTCTTTAGTGTCTTTGGTCAGGTTTATTCCAAAATATTTTATTGTTTTTGGGGCTATTGTGAATGGAAGGATTTCCTCGTACGTTTTCTCCCATCATTTGTTTTTGATATATAGAAAGGCTACTGATTCTTACAGATTAATTTTGCAACCTGACACTTTACTGAAAGTGCTAATCAGTTTCTCGTGGAATTTTTGGGATCTCTTATTTATAGCATCATATCATCTGCAAAAAGGGATAATTTGACCTCTTTTTTTTTTAGTACACCTTTAATTTCCTTCTCTTGTCTTATTCCTCTAGCCAGAGTTTCAAGCACTCCATTGAAAGCATGATATTTCTGCTCTGATTTTTGCTGTTTCTTCTCATCCGTTGGTTTTGGGTTACATTTGCTCTTGCCTTTCCAGAATCTTGAGTTGCAATGTTAAGTCATTTAATTGTGTTCTTTCTGATTTTTTTAGCATAGGCACTTTGAGCTATAAACTTCCCTCTTAGGACTGCTTTTAAGGTGCCTCAGAAGTTTTGTTGTGTTGTGTTATCTTTTTTGTTTAATTCCAGGAATACTTTTGTTTTTTTCTTATTTTCTTCTTTGACCCATTGATCATTCAGGTGTGTGTTGTTTATGTAGTTACTAGAGCTTCTTTTGTTGACTTTAATCTTTATTGCATTGTGGTCTGATAAAATTCATGAAATTATTTCATTTTTTTGGTGGAATTAGGTTTTGATAAAATTTCAGTAAATTAAGAAACCAATAGTTTCTCATGAATGCAGGTCTTTGTAAGAATGATCTGCTTTGCCGCTGTTCAAAGTGACTGTTTTATTACCCTCTATTTACTAGTGGCTAATAGAATTTTTCTCCAGTTTTACTGCATAACTTTTGGAGGTAAAGCTCAAAGATGTGTTTGACTCTATGAAGACTGGCTCCCCTGGAGCATCTTTCATACTAGTTGGTACTGAACTTCCATTAATTCAGTAACTATAGGTCAGGATAGAGTCAATTGATTCAGTCTAGGCCAGGATAGCCTGATTCTGATGAGAGCAGGTGTATTAGTTTCTTTTCTGTTGCTGTGATAGGACACCATGACCAAAGCAACTTGTAGAAGGAAGCTTATTTTAGTTGAGGGTTCCAGGGGTAAAAGTCCATAATGGTGTGGGAGGCATGGTGGCCAAGGTGGGCAGAGCAGAAAGCCCTATGAATCACATCTTTCAAGCAGGCACAGGAAGCAGAGAGTGAGCGACTGGACATCTGGCAAGGCTTAAGAACTCTCAAAACCTGCCCTCAGTGACTTGCTTCCTTTAGCAAGGCCAAACTTCCTAAAACCTCCCCAAACAGTGCCACCACCATCTCGCAACAAAATGTCCAAAGCCTTTGACACATTCTCATAACCACACATCAGGTATGTGCTCTGGTAAATTACTATTCACAGTATTCCATTTTCTGTCTCTACAGTTTTGAAGGTAATTCTTTGAACTGTGACCATATTTTTCTGACACATATAAGAAGAATAACCCATTAAAAAAGTTCTATTTATCCTTTTTCCTGGCTCTCATGGTGGATTTCTGTCATCTATTCTCTTTATATGCCCGACTGGAAAATAAAAGTCTTGCCAATATTTTTCAGTCGAGTTTTGAACTCAGTCTTCCAAGAGAAGACTTTTTTTTTGGACAGGATTGCTCTAGTCCCAGCCCACCTGGAAGTCACTAAGTGGATCAGGCTGGCCTCCATCTCACAGAGATCCACCTGCCTCTGCCTCCCGAGGGCAGGGATAAAAGGCTCATGTGATGTGACCCTTCCACTCTTTTTGTTGTTGTTGTCCCGGGATTTAGTGAAAATATTAATAGCAGGAAAGGTTCGAATAGCTCCATCTGGTGTTTTGAAATTCATCCCAACTGTGGGCTGAGTGACCTGCAGGTTGGAGAGACTGCCGCAGTCCAGAAGATTCAGCATTTCCTTGCTGTCCGGATCCACCTCAATGATCTCCTGTTCCAAGGCTGAGACCTCAGGAACACAATGATCTCTCCTCTCTCTCTTGCAACTTGATGGAAATACCTCCCACAGGACCTCTCTGAATCTCCTTCATCAAATGGTGGACATAGTCTGCTATCTTAAAAATATGAAACACATCATGAAGTTGTGTGTCATCCTTGTGCAGGGGCCATGCTAATCTCTGTATTGTTCCAATTTTAGTCTATGTGTTGCTGAAGCGAGCACTGACTCTCCTGTTACGTAGCTTAGAATTTAGAAACTTGGTGCCTAAGACTGAGGAACTGAGCAGGGCTGAAACGTCCCAGAATACTTCATAAGTTTCCCCATTCAAACTCCTGCTTTCACACCAAATGGAATTGGCTTTTCCAAGTTCGTGATGCCCCCTGCCCCCCACCTTTTTTTCCTTCTCTAGGTAACGGGCCAGCTGTTCGTCACTGGTAGCGATAGTAATAGTCAACTTCTGACCACACAAATCTGGTCCGTTTGGTGCTTCTTAACAGGCTTCCTTTCCATAGTCACCATCCCCTCACTTCAATTTCCACAGGTTTTTTAAATCTCCCACTACTTTTTCTTTTGAAAATTTAAAGTTTTCCCCCAAGTATTACCTGCTTAGGAATAAGTTTCTCATCTGTTATTTCTTAACTATCTGCTTTCTATCTTCCAAAAATTTATTGCTTTCCTGTTCTTTACAATTTTCTCTATTCTTCTGGATTTATTGTTTAAGAATCCCTTTGTTGTAAGTTTTAAAGGTTTAGTAAAAATTGATCTCATTTTTAAGTTTTGTCTTTATGTGGAGGTGATATCAAATTCTGTCTTAATAATTTAATTTTATAATCAATAGCTTAAATATTATGCAGGAATATTCAAGAATAATATAATAAGAACTGGTATAAACCAATATGATTAAGAAGAGTAATGAGTATCATTTTACATAGACATCATACGACTTGTTTTAAGAATCATTTAAAGTGCCCAGCAGGAATGTTTTTGTTAATTTACGGTTACTATTATGGGGAAAATGTATCATCAATTATATGTCTCCTTAAACACTGTCTATTGAAATACAGCTTTCATTTGTTCTTCAAACATTTATCAGTCTCCTAGTATAAGTCAAGTACTGTTTAAAGACTAGGGTATAGAAACGAAAAGAAGTTTATAGATAGAACATCTTAGAGACATCTACAAGCATAATTACAATACAATGCAATAAGTGAAAAGGAAGTTGTTTCCTCATTTCACCAGATAAGATGTTTCTGAAATTATTATTTGGCAAGTTACTAAATTCTTAATCTCCACTCTGTATCTCATGTCTTACATATATATTCTGATACTCCTTCATGTTGCTTGTTAGATAACACCCTAATTAAATTCCTTCACTATCAAGAGAATATTTTTTAGAAAGTTTTTCATTTAGCACATTTTTATTGAATATTTGATTCCCAATAGGGCAATCAGCACATAATGCAAAATATCACGGCATATATCTTCAACTGTTGGTGTACATCTTGTTCTAGCTCTTAAAAAATTAGAAATCAATTTTTTACTATGTCCATTTAGCAGAATAGTTGTATTAGACTTTCTTGCATGGCCTGCAGACTGCCTAGCCTTAGGGTCATAGGCCTGAAATCAGTATCAGGCATGGACTCCATCCTATGAAATGAAACTTAAATCCAGTTAGAAAGTAGTGGGTAACTCCTATAGTATTTGTGCCACTATTGCACTGATAGACATAGCTTCTAGGCCAGTTGTTGTTGTAGCTTGCAGCATTCATAGCTAGGTAAGGTTTATGCTATGTTCTCTCTTCAGGTAGCTTGTGACGCACCTTACAGCAGAGAATTGCATACATGTACACAGTATATTTTGATCATATCCACCCCTCACTCCTACTGCTCCTACCCACTCTTCCCAGAAAGCCCCCTAACATTTTCCTCCCAATGTCCTCATGTCCTCTTTCAATTTTAATTTTATGAGTATAGGGTCATCCACTGATTAGATCATGAGCAACCTACCAGGAGCCACATCTCTGGAGAAAACTGACTCTTTCCCCTGAGAAGCCATAAACTGTCAATAGCACCTCAGCTAGGAGCGAGACCTTGTGAGCTCTTCCTCAGTCCATATTTGACTATTGACTGGATTGATTTTATACAGATTTTGTGCAGGCAACCACAGCTGCTATTAGTTTATGAGTGCAACGGCCCTGTCACACCCAGGACACACTATTTCCCAGCACTCCTTCCCATCCTCTGGCTGTTAAAATCTTTCCTCTCCCTCTTCTTTGATGCTCCTCTGGTCTTGGTGGGGGGCGGTGTGATATAGATGTCTCATATGGGGCTGAGCACTCCACAGTCACTTATTTTCTGCATTTTGACTAGTTGTGGATTTTTGGATTAACCACTGGCTGCTTCCCCTTATCGGCCCTTCTGCCATTTCAGTTCTGCTTTTCTCAGTAATTGGTCAGTTGTTGCAGGACTCTGTTCTCTGTATTTCTTTAACTGTCTCTTTAAAAACAATTTACTGTGGCTGGAGTGGTGTAGTGGTTAAAAGCACTGGCTGCTCTTGCATTGGACATGGGTTAGATTCCCAGTGCCCACATGGCAGCTAACAACTGTCTATAACTCCTGTTTCATGGGAATCTGATGTCTTCTTCTGACCTCCATAGGCATTGCACAACATGGGTACACTTACACACATGCAGGCAATACACTCATACACATAAAATAAAAATAATAAATAAAATATTTTAAAAAAATCATTTAGTTTAGAGCCAATGAGATTGCTTAGGAACTTGCTGCCAAACCTGACAACCTGAGTCCAATCTCAGGGACCCTCATGGTGGTAGCAGGAAATCAACTCCAGAATGCTGGCTTCTCACCTCTGCACATGTGCGACGACACAGGTGTGCACATACACACAATAAATAAATGTAACCAAAAAATCATCTGGTGTTTATAGCATAGAACAAATAAAGTTTTTTTCAGTTAAGTCTGAGTCCATGTGTATTAGCAAAGTTTACTCCCTTAGCGGCCTGCATCGTATCCTCTGATTCTATGACAGCTAGTCTTCGGGAAGGAGGTTTCCAGATCAGATCCAGCTCAGTTTCTCCAAGTTTTTTGATCATAGGTAAAAATCTGTACTTACGCCATGTCAAAGCCCAACTCCCTTGGCTGTTACCTTCTCAACTTTCTACATGCTTTAAAACTGTTTCTTGTCTTCTTCATAGCTATTCCATTTATCTACTTGATTTCCTGCTTTTTAAAATCCTGATTGCTCCTCATATTTTCATAGTTACCTGGGAGGTCGCTTTTCTCTGTGCACATATTTACCCTCCCAGAGTGGAAGGGGCTAATGAGAACGTCAGTTGCCTTTGGGTGCTGCCTATTCTGACTTTTCCTTTAGTTTGTCTTTCAGTGTGACATATGCTTTATAGCTGTAGTTGTACAGTTTTTCCCTCAGAGTTTTAAAAAATTCATAGCACTTTTCCAATCATTTATGGCACCAGCCAATCCTATGCAAGTAAAGATTGTTCAAGATGAAATTGGAAAAGAGGTTTTCAATGGCCTTATATAGGCCAAAGAGATTATAACACTAATAATTAGAAGAAACAAAACATTTTTTCCACAAATTTGAATTTTCAAGAAGTCTTAAATGTTCCCAATTTAATGTACACACCAGCTTGGAGGAGCACTTGGAGTTTGCAGCTTCTTCTGATGGTATTTTCTCTTTCTAAGCTAATGAGCTGAACAGAATTGAGGAGTTTTGTAGCATTACCAAAGTAGTAAGTGATCCAACCTCTCTGTTAACAGCTGGGGGTCTTAAATCTTTCTCATGATTGTTACCATTGAGGAGGAATTTCGGAAGGACAGAGATGAAGCTATTTCTTGCTCAGTGGGTTTACAGAATAGATGACACTTTTCTTTACTGGATAGTAATGAGTATACACATACATTTCTTCTTCCCTTGTGACCCCCACCTCCACTTTGGGTGTTGCAAAGGCATGACCAAATTAGGTTAACCATTGTGATGGTTTTTGAGGGGGATGTTTGACCCAAATATGCCAATAAGAGCTCAGTCATGTTTGATGGAATGTTCAAGAAATAAAGCACTGTTTTTTTTTGTTCTGGTGCTCAGTGCTTGGGACCATGCATTTTTAGCTGCCGGCATATATTTCCAACAGTCTCCAGTTACCAACCTCCTATATTTCTTGGAAATATACATCATTACATTTTATTTTAAACTTAATTTGGTTGGGTTTCTTTACCTTGCGATTGAAGGTGTACCAATTAAATCACTTGACTATATTTTTAGACATATTTCTACACAGACACACGAGAGAGAGAGAGAGAGAGAGAGAGAGAGAGAGAGAGAGAAAACCACATACACATGCAGACATTATCACCCATAGAAATTGTCAACTTCAAAGGAGGCTGCCATTTGGATATGGTTAAATGTGTTTCCTAAAGGTTTATTTGTCAGAAGCAAGACTTGTAGCATGGCACTGCAGGAAGGGGGTTGTCTTTTAGATGTGGGGCCTTGTGAACATCCCTTACATCACTTAAGGCCAGAAACTCAGGGGAGACTGTGGGGCTCCATCCTCTATGATTTTCTTTTTCAAGATGGGATGTTTCCTCACATGTGGGTTTCTACTATGATGTGACACATCTGAAAGGAACCTCACCACAGTGAGCTCAAGAGCACCTCAAACTCCTTTTTGCCAAAGAAGTTATATCATGCTGGGTTACCTAGGCCAGTTTCCATGAAATGTTAAAGAGTACCTTGAGCATATTTCCCCCAAACCCTTCTACCTTTCTGTCTTGTTCCTCCCACCTCCCACTAGTCCCTTAGAGTGTTAGACTTCTTCTTTCATGCTGTGTGTACACATATGGTATATAACTATAAAGCTTAGAACTCACAAATGAGAGAAAACACAATATTTGTCTAAGACAAACTATTTAATATGGTTAATTCCAGTTGAAGCACAAAACTTCTTCATGTCATGCTCCTAAACCTCAAACTGTGAGAGTTAAGTAGTCACTCTTTTTTTTTATATAAATTGGTCTGCATCAGCTATTTTGCTATAGGTCTGCACATCCTCTTTCCATCTCCTTTCCTTGGGCCTTAGACCCATCCCTCTGAGATGGACTGAGAGCACCTCACTAGGCCTCAGGTCTTCAGGCATGAGTAGCCTAAATCCCCCTGCCAATCACTTGGTTTGGGATGGTCTCTAG